GTCTTCATAGACTATTATAAAGGAGTCTTCATAGAGTCCTATAAAGGAGTATTCATAGAGCCTTCATATGGGAGCCTGTAGGAGTCTACGAAGCCTCCTTGGAGTCTATAAAGACTCCTTTATAGGAGCCTATAAAGAATAAGGGAGTCTTCCTAGACTCCTAGAAAGGAGTCTTCCTAGATTCTAGAAGGGAGTCTTTCTAGATTCCTATGAAGGAATCTTTCTAGACTCCTAGAAAGGAGTTTTCTAGATTCCAAATAAGGAGTTGTTCTAGACTCCTAAAAAGGAGTCTTTATAGACTCCTAGAAAGGAGATTTCTGGAATCCTAGAAAGGAGATTTCTGGATTCCTAGAAAGCAGTCTTTATAGACTGATCTAAAGGAGTCTTTATAGACTTCTATAAAGAAATCTTTATATACTTCTATAAAGGAGTCTTTATAGCATCCTATAAAGGAGTCTATCTAGACTCTTAGAAAGGAGTCTTACTAGACTCCTGGAAAGAAGTCTTTCTAGACTCCAATAAAGGTGTCTTTACAGACCACTTCATAGGAGTCTACATAGACTTCTATTAAGTAGTCTTTTTATACTCTTATAATACAATCTTTCTACACTGAAATTTAAAAGAATTTAACTCAGTGTTTTGTCCAATTCCATGAGAGGAATACTCACCATGGTCACTACCACTCTGGGAAATGGTGACATAGCTTTCCTAAAGGCTTCAATGTATTGCTTTCGAGTGGGGAGTCTGAAGACTCCTTAGTCCCACATTTTATGACCTTGACTTTGTAGAAGATGACCTGACTAATTCGAAGTTTCAGACGATCAACGTCGTAGGTCAGAAAGAGGTCCTTCATATACCTATAAACTGACAAAAAATACAATTCTTTGATGCACACATCGGTATCAGCTCGGTCAATGATGGTCATTCGAATGTCTTCTGGATTCCCTGGCTGAGGAACCTTGTTTCGAAACGGAAGATTTGGCTTTTGCCTCTTTACAGCTTTTGGTAAGGGCTTCGTCAATTTAACCGATGTAGTCTAACGTGCTTCAGCGGGCGAGGACCGCATCCCCAGAGTTGCAGACGCCGCAGGAGTCGACGTTACTCTCGCCAGCATTTCATACTTCGCTTTATACACTTGGTGTTTCATTGGGTTTGTTTAACAGCTGTCATACTTCATATTCCTAGTTCTCGCTTTTACCAGCGCAACACCTGTTTGGTTGGGGTAGTTATTTTGTATCGAAAAACGGGGTAGGGTCACTGGCACCTTTCTGAGACCTTCTTGCGGACAGTTCCTTGCCATCTTTCGCAATGATAGATGATGTCAAGGATTTCTCACTATTTGGCGACCCCCACACAGGTTTTGATTTATGAGAAGTATCTGGCATTATTTTCTCAGCCTTGCTAGGGCTATTCAAAGTTGTGTCCTCCGCGATGTGTAAATTCTTTCGAACTAGAAGTCCCTCGCAATATCATTCGGATAGTTCCGTGTGAACTTCTGTATAAATTTAAGGTTTCTGTTGATTTGAAGGAATCATTGAAAGCAAATTCCTTGTCGTTAATCGAATTCCTATCCTGTATCGATGAAACGGTTGTAGAAGACAACTCAATCCCCCAGATATAATTGAAATATCGGCTCCTTCTCAGAGTTTTATTTTCCGCGACGTATGAATTCTTCCGATCAATATAATTCGGATAGTTTTGTGAGACCTTTTCAATAAATGTGAGGTCTCCCTAAGGCTGTGTGAACAAAACCTCTGGCGAATTGTTCCTTTAGGTATGGTCGTATCTTGAACGAGCCAGGTATGACGTTGGACCAACGCGTAAAACTAAGCGACTATATATCACCAGTTCTGAGATTTGACGATGTAGATGTCGTAGAGACGACTGAAACCGAAGTAACCCTCCTCTGGACGGTCTGGCCTTCTATACAGACGGATCCAAGTGGCGGGCTTCAACTGTGAAAGTCTAGGCCTTGAGTTAACCTACAACCTGGATTGCAACTGTGTTGTTTTCCCAGCTGAAATCTTCGCGATTTGGAAGGCAGCGGAATTGATAAGAAGTCTGGATGCAGAGGTCATTGAACCGTTAACTGTCTTCGTGGATAGTCAAGCGGCTCTTAAAGCCATCAAATCTTGTTATATCAAATCTGAGGCCGTCCTCAAGTGTAGAACAGCTTTGTAAGAACATACTTACAGCTATCGGCCGTGTTGGATACCAGGACACCGTGGCATCTTGGGTAATGAAAGAGCAGACGAGGATCTCAATCCACAGATCTAGCAATTGATGACTCAATCAAGCCACCCATATGTCATCTTTAACGGAACTTTGAGGCGTTCTTCGACAAAAGAGCCTATGTACTTTGGCACAACGAACTTAGGTGCAACGTGTCAAGATCCATTTGGCCGACTCTGTCTACCAAAAGAACGCACTCACTGTTGAACCTGAGAAACCTAAAGTGGTTGGGAAAGTGCAGCCTTGACACGTAACATATCTTATGTCTGATCTCTATAGCCATCGACGTTATTCCAAACATACATTCTTATATTTTTCTGTAAGCTTCTCATCTCTCTTTATTTACCCAATCTTCTCCCCCCATTATAGATCTCTCCTTATCTGTTTTCTTCTTGTGGATGATCACAACGGACCTAACGGTCTCGGAGTGCTGCAGCCACATAAGTGACTACACATCCCCAAGCCTAACCTTTTTTCGGTATTTCATATATTCACCTCGGGTATAACAATTATTATTTTTTTTTAATTTCATAGTTTATTATATTTTGGGGAAGAATATAGGGCTTACAACTAATTCCGATTATTCCGTGTACAATTAATAACATTTCCCGCATTCTTTTCACCGCTGGATTTGGTTTTCTTTTTTCGTTCGACAATTTTAACTTCACCACCAGCTGCACCGCCATTATTTTCATTGTCATCCTCCTCATCCGTTTCCTCAACCTTTAAAGGAGTAGACGCTGATAGTTTATGCTTGTCGTGTTTATTTACCAAACGTGGTATACCCTTCGAGGAAGAGGCGGAAACACCTGTTAAACGTTTTGTTACAAATACATTTTTATTTTTGCCAGCAATTGCAGGACCACTGCTACCTTCGGCTTTTAAATGGGGTTTCTTGAGAACCTACATACACACACATAAACATACAATATTTAAAATTGTGACTTATTTAATAATTACGGTACAATCAAACTTGGTTATAAGGAACAGGTGTGAGGAACATTTTCAGGAGCAGGTGAAATCAACTACTACAGGGGGTCGTTTCCTCGACAGAGGGGTCTACGATCCGAAACGACCCGAGTCTTACTCGGCCAACGTCTGTCACCTCAGCCCATTGTGTAAAAGCAATAGGGCTGCTACAACAACAACAACAACTACAGGGGGTGGCTTGTTTTGTAGTATTCTAATAAATCTACATAACCAGGTCCTTATAGTCAAGTCTGAGCGGGGAAAGCAACAAATGTGTTAAGGGCTAAGCTAACATTGCCACGGAAAACATTACAAAAAACCCATAACGTGGTTACTGGGTGGTAGGAATGGAAATGCCACAGTCTACAAATGGTTGCATTATGAAGGGGGTGGGGGAGGCGAATGATTTATAGATAATGAATTTGTTTGTTTGTAATCAATAAACAAACTTTTGTTTTTAAGTAGTTTCAAGTTGTCATGAGAATGTCAAAATGAAGGAGGGAGTGTGATGATGAAGTTGCCTGTGCTGCAAGAGGTTCAAATATTTTTTTTTACCAACAAATTTACCAAGTGTTTTAATGGTTTGTGGAAATGTAAAGCCAATACTTTTTGGATTTGTTTTTTCGTTTGTTTGCAAGTAAAAAATGCATGAAGAAAAAAACGATTGTCAACTCTTTTGGGGTTTTGTTTTTGGTTTTTAATACTGGACATGCATTTGCTTTTGCAACCTTACATGTGTGGCTGCCACAGCTTTGAAGGGATGTTTAACTTGTGGCTTTGCTAGGGGTTTCTTATAATTAAATTTGCTATTTGCCTTTATATCTGAGGCAGAATCATCAGACACGGCATCGCCCACATCTTCATCGGCTTCAGTGTTGGATTCATCATCAGATTTTGATCTTGCGCTGTTGTCCTGGAAGTAGGATGGAGAGAACAAAAAAAATATGAGATTAGGGAAACACAAAATTTAAAATATACATATATTTTGTAAATCGTTAAGTTCGGCCGGACAGAACTTTTTATATCCTTCTCTATGAAGAGAGCACTCAAAATACCAAAAATCGGTCTGGACCTTTATAAGGCGACTATACCATGGGGGATATGCAACAAGAACAAAACGAAATACAAACCAAACTACGACAATCAGTTTGGGAAATTGTATTAGAACTTCGGAACTGTCAAAATTTGTATACCCTCTACCATAGGGTGGGGATTCAAATTACTTAAAATCGATCAGGATTTTCATATGTGAGCTATGTCATGATAAATGCCTTCTAAGCGTAAAATTTCATGTTTCATCAATTTCTATGAGTAGAAAAGAGATGAGGGCAATCATAGGTATCATAACAGGTCACTGCAGTATCAGATCTCTTTGTATACCCTTCACCACACTGTGGTACAGGGTATTATGTCTTTGTGCATATGTTTGCAACAGGCAAAATGCAGAAAATCCATTTCTGAGTTGATTTATTCATGTCTGTCCGTCAGCTGATGTTAAATTGGATCAGATTTATAATCCGATTTGGGTGAAATTTGGTACAGCTCATTTATTTAGCCCAAGGACGAACCCTATTGAAATTGTTGAAAATCTGTTCAGATTTAGATATGGCTCCCAAATATTAGGCTGGGGAATAAGAAATCCGTTAGGCCGGTCGTCGAAAATTTCGATTAAATCGGAGAAATTATCGAAGTTGACCGGCAGTTGACAAAGCTGGATTCAAAAAGATGCTCAATGTTTGGGTGTCACACCAATTAACAGAAAAAATAGGATGGATCGAATTTCAATCTGCTAAGCCTTGGCCAAACGGAACGAGGTAGACCCATTTCATAAACGGATGGTGACTGGAGATAACCCTTTGTGAAAACGATCATGGTCAAAGAGCGGTGAAGCACCTCAATAGTTGGCCAAACCAGGACCCGGAAGGTTCTGATACGCATTTGGTGGGACTGGAAGAGGATTACTTATTATGAGTTGGTTTCATATGATCAAACACTAAATTCTGATCTCTACTGTCAACAACTGGACCGTTTGAAGATAGCAATTGATCAGAAACGACCAGAATTGGGCACCAGGAGAGGTGTCGTGTTCCACCAGGACAACGGGAGCTTGGTTGGGAAGTGTTAATGCATTCGCCATACAGTCCGGACTTGGCACCAATCGATTATCATCCTTTTCTTGCATTGAAAAATTTCTTTAATGATTAAAAATTGGTATCTAGTGCGGATTGTGAAAATCGACTAGTAGAGTTTTTTGGAAATAGAGAGCAGGACTTCTATGAGAAAGGCATTATGAAGTTACCTCTGAAATGGCATACAATAAAACGGTGCATATTTGGTCCAAATCGGACATTCCAAAACATGTTAAATAAAATCCTAACGTCTTTCGATTTGCATGAAATTTGGCACAGCGTGCTAAATTATGTCTAGAATGATGTGTGTTAAGTTTAGGGAAAATCGGTTCAGATCCTGCATAAAAGTCCCCATATATATTTCGAATTGCACGAAATTTGGCATTTCGTACCGAATTAAGTCTAAAGTCATGTGTGCTAAGTTTCGTGAACATCGGTTCAGATTTAGATATATCTCCAATATATATTTTCGTCCGATTTATTATAAATGGTGCACCATAAATGGTGCACCAAAGTCCCTATATATCATTCGATTTGCCCGAAATTTGACACATCGTACTGAATTAAGCCTAAAAGGATGTGTGTTAAATTTCGTGAAAATTGGTTCAGATTTAGATATAGGTCCCATATATATTTTCATCCGATTTAATGTAAATAGTATACCAAAGTCCCTATATATTTCGATTTGCACGAAATTTGGCATAGCACACTGAAGTAAGTCTAGAATGATGTGTGCTATGTTTCGTAAAAATCGATTCAGATTTAGATATAGCTCTCATATATATTTTCGTCCGATTTAAGGTAAATGGTGCGCCCAATTCTCTAAATATCTTTCGATTTGCACGCAATTTGGTGTAGCGTACTAAATAAGTCTAGAATGATGTGCAACGTATGACCAATAATATTGCAAAGATATATCCTACATATTGCTAGCTATATTCTGATCTCAACAGACAGACGAACGGAATAGGCAGATAATTTTATTCTGACCAGGAATATATGTAAGGAGTCTCCGTAAATATTTCTATACAAATTCTTTTTTGGGGCGTTTATAAAGGCGGCTTTTTAGTCTGCAAAGACTCCTTTATAGGTGTCTTTAAAAACTCCCTTGTAGGCCTCTATAAAGACTCATTTATAAGAGTCTATAAAAAGATCCTATACAGGAGTCTATAAAGACTCATATACAGGAGACTATAAAGACTGATATATATGAGTCTATGACAGTGTTTCTATAGGCCTCGATAAAGGCTCCTCCATAAGAGTCTATAAAGGCTCATTAATAGGAGTCTATAAAGTCTTCTTTACAGGAGTCTAGTGGTCTATGAAGGCTCCTTTATAAGATTCTATAAGGGCTCTTTTATAAAATTCTACAACGTCTCCTTTATAGGCATCTATAAATAATCCTTTATAGGCGTTTATACTCCTTTATAGCAATCTATACAGGCTTACTTAAAAGAGTTTATAAAGGCTTATATTTTATAGGAGTCTATATAAGTCTACAATAGCTCATTTGTAGGAGTATGTATACTGCTCAGTAGGAGCCCATACAAATTTCTTTATCGGCTTCTAGAAGCTCCTTTATAGGAGTCAATAAGTCTACGTTATAGAAGTCTCCTTTATATATGACAATAAAGGCTTCTAGATGACTTTATAGGCGTCTATAAAGAATCCTTTATGCGACGTTTACTTTGCAGCCTATAACGACTACTTCATGGACGTCTGTAAAGACTCATTTTTGGTTATCTATAAAGAATCTTAAATACCTATACTTAAATATTCCATTTAGACTCCTGTAAAGGATATTTTACATTATTTTTTTCTGAAATAACTATTTTGTTCCATTACCTCATCATCTTCCTCGTCATCATCATCATCCTCATCATCGTCGTCCTCATCATCATCATCGTCGTCATCCTCATCATCATCATCAGTTTTAGCTTCATTTAAATTTTTCGTTGACTTTGACATCCTTCCCTTTCTCTTCAACGGACTCAACAGCTGATCTCTATCCAAACTTTCCATTGATTGTGAACGTAAGCTATTAGCCTTCTTATTCTTCCCCGCTTTCTTTTCCTGTGCCTCATTTTTCGTTTTCATTAATTTTTGAAATTCTATAAAATCACCACGTTCATCAATATTGCTAACATCATAATAACTAGCCGTTAAGGCTTCCAACGATTTGGTATGATATTTCATTGCAATCAATATGAAATCGGTTAGTATCTGTTTCAGATCGTTGAGTTTACGTTTTTCAAAATTACTTATGACTTCATCGATTTCTTTATTTGTACGATTAACTTCCATTTTGGCTTTGAGCAATTCGGAATCGGCAGCGGACTGGAAGGAGACGGAGGATATATAAGAGGTTTATTGGACGCTGAGTATATTTGATTTGCTACTTACATTATTGGCAGAGAATTTGGATTTAAGATCCAACATTTGTCGTTGCTTTAGTACCTCCTTGTCCCGAGCTATGACAGCTGTACGTAAATTGTCTCTGGTTGTTTTACACAATGTTTCAAATTGGGCCATTTCGTTGACTATCTGGAAGGACAAGAATAACAATTATTAGGGATTCCTAAAAAGGATTAATTAGAGTCCTCAAAAATGATTATTTCATATAAAGGAGTCTTTATAGGCTCCTGTAAAGAAGTCTTTATAGGCTCCTATAAAGGATTCTTTAAAGGCAGCTATAAATGATTTTTTATAGGCTTCTATAAATGATTCTTTATAGGCTCATATAAAGGCGTCTTTATAGGCTCCTTCCATAAAGGAGCCTTTATAGGCTCCTATAAAGGAGTCTCTATAGGCTCCTATAAAGAGTCTTTGTAGGCTTCAATAAAGGAGTATTTATAGGCTTCTATAAAGGAATCTCTATAGGCTACTATAAAAGAGTCTTTATAGGCTCCCATAAAGGAGTCTTTATAGGCCCCTATAAAGGAGTCTTTATAGGCCCCTATAAAGGAGTCTTTATAGGCTCCTATAAAGGAGACTTTATAGGCTCCTATAAAGGAGACTTTATAGGCTCCTATAAAGGAGACTTTATAGGCTCCTATAAAGGAGACTTTATAGGCTCCTATAAAGGAGACTTTATAGGCTCCTATAAATCAGTCTTAATAGACTCCCAATAAGGGAGTCTTTATAGACTCCCATGAAGGAGTCTTTTTGGTCTCCTCTAAAAGACTCGGTGTTTATAGGCTCCTGAGAAAGATTCTTTATATGTTCCAATAGAGTAGTCCTCGAATGTTCCCATAAACGAGTCTTTATAGCTTCCTATAAAATAGTTCTTGTTGACGCTACATCTACTCACCTTTATTTCCATACGGTGAACATTCAAATCCATATAATCAGCCATTATTGTTACAGCATTTGTCATATTTTTCAAACCTTCTGTTAGACTTTCATTGATTTCCTCTTCATCGGCATAATGTTTGAGACTTTTCGATAACTCATCATATGAATCACGAAATCTAAAAAAATGGAAAATCCAATAAATTATTTATTATTTAAAATATCCATTATAGACATACTTTGCCATCTTCCTTGTGCAAGACGAAAATGTCGAACACATTTCCATTAAATGTTTTTCGGTTAAATTGATGCGCTCGTTGATGATTTTTATACGATCATCTTTGGTATTGAGAAATGATAATTTACTACGACGAAACATTATTTTTAATAATGAAAATTAAATATTAATTATTGTAATAAAGGAAATGGTTTCGTTCTGTGGCTATTGTTTTATTTTTTCCCTTCAACTGTCAAATGTTAACGGTTGCCATGGCAACACAGGGTGATTAAGAAAGTGGTGGTTTTATAGTTCAACCTTACATGGAAACGTATGACGACGGGCAATATTTAGAAAAGGTGTGTTTCATTTCGTTCGAAAAATAAAATAAAGAATATTGAATGAAGCGCATTAAATATTTCACCGAACACCGAAAAGGAGCGATGGGAACAAAAAGGAAACCCAAAATAAGCATTTTGAATTAATTATTATTTTATATAAAGTCATTTGCTGCATCTATAAGAATATTATTACTTCGTTTATATGAAGATCTTCGGTTAAATTTAGCTTACAAGCGCCTAAACAAGGGATGTTTACTGCTTCTGTTGGTCAAGTTGTACCCCATTTTTAACGTACCGTTAAATGCAGCCAGGATCAACGTGCCCAAACATAATAACCTTCGATCAACTGGCTTTGAATCCGACCACTGATTCTTGCTGCAAGGCAAACGTATCACCCACACTGTTTGCATCTAATTCATTAAGGCAATTGGTGAACCTCACACCCGCCCCAATATTCGCTGTCCGTGGTCGTGCCAACTATGGTTATATCAAAAAAATTATACAAACTAAAATAAAAAAATATTATATTACCGTTATAAAAGGACTGCGGTTTTTCTTTGAAAATACATTCAGATTTTCTTTTCACGTTCAAACTCTTTCAACTCTTCTATCAGAAGATCTCGAGCTCTACTGCAATAAGATATCCATGTCTTCTATAAGAAGACCTTTATCTCTTCTATAAAAAGACTTCCAGATCTCGTATAAGAAGACCCAAACTCCTCTATAAGAATATTTCCAGATGAAACACTAACCCTCTTTTATAGTTATATATATTTCCTTTAATAAAACACATTGAGCACTTATAAAAAATCAGCGTTAAACAGCGAATTTGTTTTATTTCACTGCCATATATATTTTTTATGTGGAATATATTCTGACTTTTTATACCCTTCACCTCACTGTGGTACAGGGTGTTATGTCGTTGTGCATTGTCTGTAACAGGCAAAAGGAATCGAGATATAACCATGGTTCCTTTTGAGAATATGCATAGAATCACTTTCTGAGTCGATTTATGCATGTCCATCCGTCCGTATATTGATGTTAAGGGGACCCCCCCATTCTCGGGGTCAAAATTTTTGTTGATACAATTCGAATCTACACTGATTAAAGAATGTCTCTACAAAATTTCAAGTGAAAATCTCAAGAACTCTTGAAGATATATCCGATTTATTGTGTCAGCATCAAGTGGCGGCTGAAGGGCTTCTCAAACTTTAAACGCGTTTTTCTCTAAACATTTTTTTGCGAATGGCGGGCACGATAACTCAAAAACTAATAATCCAATTGGTTCCAAATTTTGCAACGTTTCTCTGGGAGTGTATAGCTCTCGTATGAACTAGGATAAAGCCAATCGGTGAAGATGTTCCTTATTTTTTAACTTGGTTTTTGGTAAAAAATTGGCGATTTTCCAAAAATATTTTTTCAAAGGTCCACCATTTTGTTAATTTTAGAGCGAAGTCAATAATCCTAGTTCATACGAGAGCCAGGCATGTACTCTTTCTAACACCGTTGAAATTTTCGGATTCCGATGTTCCAGTGAGGAGTTATCATGCCCGCCATCAAAAATAAGGACTTTTCTTTAATTACAAAAAACAACAACAAAACAATAATAAAATTTTTTTGTAAATTATTTTTCTTCTCTTTTAAATCTTCAAATATATATGTGCAAAGTTACAAACCATAACAAGCATTGGTATTGATTTACCAGCCCATTGAAAATCTTGAAAATTTTAAATCGTGAATGGGGGGGGGGGGGGGGTGGCGGTTCCCTTAATAGAAATGATGCACCAAAGTCCCTATATATTTTTTGATTTGCATGAAATTTGGCATAGCGCACTGAATTGAGCCTAGATTTAGATATTACTACCGATTGTGCGATTTTATGTAAATGGTGCACTTAAGTCCCTATATACCAGGGACCGTAACGGTTATAACTTATATCAAATCAGGTAAAAAATAACTGTTATTATGTGACCTAAATAAAAAAATCAACTTTAATTAACTGTTAAAAATGATTTTTATTTTTTCCGTCAAAAATAAAAGTCTTTTTGGGATTTTTATTTTTTCCGTCAAAAATAAAAGTCTTTTTGGGACTTTTATTTTTTCCGTCAAAAATAACAGTCTTTTTGGGACTTTTATTTTTTCCGTCAAAAATAAAAGTATTTTTGGGACTTTTATTTTTTCCGTCAAAAATAAAAGTCTTTTTGTGATTTTTATTTTTTCCGTCAGAAAATAAAAGTCTTTTTACGTAAATAAACATATAGAGTTTGGTACCAGTTATATAACCTTTGACCTAATAGTCAGGGGAATGATTCTTTAATTTATATTCATGATTTGGTACACTAGACTATTTTTTAAAAATTTATAACAAATATTTTTTACCTTTGATCTTGATTACTTATGTGTAGACTTATTGTAATAAGGACAGAGATTTATAAATTGTAATTTTATAACTGATTACAAGTTGTATAAACTTCTTTACATAAAAAGAGTTTTATTTCCTGACGGAAAAAATAAAAATCCCAAAAGGACTTTTATTTTCTGACGGAAAAAATAAAAATCCCAAAAAGACTTTTATTTTTGACGGAAAAAATAAAAGTCCCAAAAAGACTGTTATTTTTGACGGAAAAAATAAAAGTCCCAAAAAGACTTTTAAGAAAAAATAAAAGTCCCAAAAAGACTTTTATTTTTGACAGAAAAAATAAAAATCGCAAATAGACTTTTATTTTTGACGAAAAAAATAAAAATCATTTTTAACAGTTAAAAATCAACGTTTATTTTTTCCGTTAAAAAATAATCCTTAACATGGGAACTGAGAGTGTTTTCTCAAGATCACTCAATATCCTCAATGGGCTCCTCAGTACGAATCTATTGGTATATGACACTATTAGTGTCCCATGTCTCTAACATGAAGATTTTTTTGTTCGCATTTTAAAAAATAACTGTTATTTTCGGTCCCTGCTATATACATATCTTTCGATTTGCGCGAAATTTGACGTAGCGTACTGAATTGAGTCTAGAATGATGTCTGCTAAGCTTCGTAAAAATCGGTTCAGATTTAGATATAGTTCCCATATATTTTCATCAGATTTTAACTGAACTGTGTCTAGAATGTTGTGTGAAAATCGGTTCAGATTTAGATATAGCTCCCATTTATATTTCCCTTCGATTTTATGTAAAGTGTGCACCAAAGACCCAAAGTTTGTACGATTGATACACAATTTGTTGAAATCGGTTCAGATTTAGATATAACTCCCATTTATATTTTCGTTGGATTTTAAGTAAATGTTGCACCGGTTGACACGAAACGTATCAAATTTAGACTAGAATGACGTTATAGTTTTTTTTTTTTTAATTGGTGCAGATACAGACACAGCTTCCATATATATTACAAACGGGTATCTGATTGAAATTAAATTTATGTAAATAAAATCGATACATAAATTTTTCGCATTGTACGCAAACAACTCTAAACTTGCCCGAATGAAATGAAATTTAGAATAGGTTCCAGATAACAGATTCAAATTTGTTCAATTTCATGTCAACGTTCTTTCGAAAAGGCGAAGTCTGTTAGGAGACATATGTAGAATATACCCAAAGTGGTGAAGGGTATTATATAGTCGGCCCAGTCCGTCTTTACTACTTTCCTTACTGGTTAAAAATATTCTTTTACAGGTCACATCTACCGTTAAGGAATACGGCCATCAAGAATACCCTGAATTCCAAATCGCAGCCAATTCGTAGGAAAATAGCATATGTGACATCTGTATTTGAAATAATGCATTATCCATAATCCAAGTTTATAGTGGTTGAAGAACCTGTCATACCATTATGTGAATCCCCCTAATTTAGCAATGATTAATCCATTTAAAACTCTATTATGGCAATGCCAATAATGTTTGTGTAGTCAATTGATTCATAGCAGAGACACGAACCTGTTGGTAAGCGTTCCGAATGATATATAGATGTCTCTTGTACTGTTGTGTAATGGTAGCTCGATAGACACATTTTTTGTAAATGATTCAATTTGATTCTAGATAGACATTTTCTTAGTACTTCCTGGAAGTAGAACCCTCTAGGGACTGGTGTAGTCTATACATAGATTAATTTCAGTTCCATATAGAATATGTCTAAACTTTAGGATCTTTTGAATTAAATTTTAACTCAATTGGTTAGTATATCCTGGAGGTTTTACGTTCTATTTAAATCCAATAAAAAACCAGTGAGCGGAGCAGTGTAGTCGGACGGGTCCGACCATATGATAACCTACACAACTTCTACAAAAATCTAACTTCCTGTTGTTCTATATTCTGAGCTTGGACGATATTCCGCGATATTTGCACCCTCTTGGCCGACTAGAGGTCAAAAAATATTACTAATATTCAGTATAGCCCTTCTAATTACTTGGCCAGATTCCTTTCCCGTGGGTTGTGTTGTGATGTTTGACTCAAAAAAATAAACAAAAAATTTAGTTTTTGGTTCAGTTCACCCCAATATTATTATCTGATGATCACAGAAAATGACAGGCGTTGTCTTTGATCACACCTGGATCGTCATGGAAAATTTGAAAATATACGTCCGCCCTCTAGTGTGTTAATGGGTTACTAAATAACATATGAATACGTAAGCACTTGTAAATATTTAAGTGCAACTCCCACATCCGAGTACATACGATAATATAATTGGTATCGATTGAAAGGTTAACCACTCCTCTTGGATTTATTATCAACTTCTCGGGTCTATGTCTCTCAGGGGTAAATATATACGCCATAGAATACAAATTTTGTAATTATTCACATAAAAGTCAGGGTCCATTAGACCTGC